AGTATTCAAGCCTATTTTATCCCTGTTTGTTTTCAATGGGACCTGGCAGGTTTAAATAAATCTAACTTTGATCAGTTTGGTTCTTTTAAAATACAAATTTTTTTTCTCATCGATTTTTAAGACCCACAATATTAATAAAATTATGTGACTGGATGATGTTTTTGTCCCCTTCTTTTTGCTTGTATGGCAGCTTTGGTCAAGAGGTGAGAGTACAGGTCCTAAGAGTTAAAAACCTTGGGTCTGACTCTAGACCCTGCCATTTCTTAGTTCTCTGCTTGGTGGGCGGGACCCTTCAGGCATCAGAACCTCAGCTTCCATGCATGTAACACAGGGACAGTCATCCCTGCTCTGCTTGCTTCATGGCATTAAGTCCCGCATGAGGTTGGGCATGAAAAAATGCCTTCTGAATTATATAATTCAGCACAACTTATTTTAATGAAAGATTGTTTTTATTGTTTTGACACTGATTACTTTAGAAAAGAGGCAGCTATCTGACCTTGGGCAATCTATTTAATCTCTGTGACTCAGTTTTCTCATTTGTAAATGAAATGACCAAAGAGTTTTGGGGGTAATAAAATGAGGTCCTGGCACATCGAAAGTGCTCAGTCAGTATTAGCTTGTTACTGTGAGGTTGCATCATACATTTAACTTACTGACTTCCCAAGAATTGAAGAGGCCAAACCTTTACTATGCCCTCTGACCCCTTCATAGTAACAAGGGATTGTCATTATCTTGTTAAATACAATAATGTGAATTAAGGTCATAGAGGTTTAGTATTAAAAACAGTGAAATAAATTGCAGACAAGAAGGAACATTTTCTAATTCTCCTCCCATCTCCACCTCCAGGGACTTGATTGTTATCTTAAAAGCAGACTGGTTTGGGTGCTTATATATCTCCATAAAGATTTTCTTTTTTTTTGCACCCTCTGGTCTTGTGTGGTGGTTCTCACATAAGAAATCACTGCAGAGGTTATGCATTTAAAGCCATGTACTTGTACTCTAAGGGCTAATTAAGGGATAGTCAAGTGTAAATTTGACTCTATGCACCTTTTTTCTTCTTCTTTTTTTTTTCCCTTTTTTTTTTGTCTTTTTTCGTGTCCGGCAATGGATCGCAACCCTCAATGTCGCGCCCGTA